GGCAAGTTTAAATTTACGCAAATCAGCCTCAACAGTGTCAATAGATGGGGGGATTTGGGGAGTTTACTCTCGTATAGGGTAGCAAAATTCAGCTGAACTAGCTCTGGTAGAGGCTAAGGGTTCCAGGGTCCCAGCGGCTCATCCCCACCCAGAAATTCCCAAAGTACCCCCCCGGGTGTATAATGACATTTCAGTAAACTAGGAGAGGATAATACACAAACCGGAGAAGATTATCACGACTGTATCACAACTCTATTCCTTTGTTGAATCAGTCCCAACGGATTGTTTTAGTAACCAAAGTGCTGTTTCACCAGCAACCATCTTCTTAAGTCTCAGCCTGGGTTACACTACGACAAATTGCTTAGGCCGGGTGGAACACCGCTACCACATGGTGTAAATCCATGAATATCGTGTGTATTCGTTCGTTTAAAAGATGTCTTCGGTGTCATTTTTCAAAGTCTCACATCAGATTCATTTATTACTAAGATTTAGAGCCATGTGCACTCTTCTCCATATAACGACGGCCACGTTTCTACAATGGTCAGGTCACTGTCTCACTGAAAGTAAGTTGTGAGAGCCCCTGACCAAAATGTTGTCGTGGACAAAAGGGAGTAAGATGTTGCTAGTCTTACAATGACATATCAAATGGAGCGATGTGGAAGAAATAGATCAAAAACATTTGATCAACATTTCAGCCAGGGATACGAATACTGAACCGAYAAGCTTTATCGTGAGACAATTTTTGACAATAATATTATTTCCAGTGATCCTGGACAAGTCATTGTGTTGAAATTATCCTATTAAATTACGTTTTCACTTGGTATGTTATTATTCAGCTACATGTGTGATCAAGAATTTTACTTTCTGGGATAAGTAAGATTAGGAAGATTAATTATTATTATTATCATTATCATCATCATCATCATCATCATCATCATCATTATTATTATTATTATGTTAAAAGTCCGTTTCAAATCGATAATCTCCCAGACACGTGTGCTTTATGTCAGGTACTGCAAGGAAGTACTTATCTCCTACTGTGATAGTGGTTTTCTCGTCAGCTGTGCTTGATTATTTAGTGAAACCCTTAAGGCGGCTGAACACAGTTTTTGATGCCTGCGTTTCATTCACCTTTTTCTCTAAAATCCTTGATTTTTTTATGGTTAAGCTGACGTATGTGCCTTTGCCATGGCAACACGAATAAAAATAAACAGGTTTTTAAAATCGGTTTTGTTTATTTGTAGAAAATCTAGTCATTAGATTTTCTTTATAATTTGCATGCAACAAGCTTGTAACGATTCTCACAAGTTAACACCATTTTGCTAACAATTTAACAGTGATCTTTAATTGTCCCTTGTTGAAGGTTTACTGGAATATCTAGAGTTTCCTTTGTTCAAGTTCAATT